AAAATTCCATTAGTTTTAACTACCAAAAGAGAGTTAAAGGAAAGGATAGTCAGTTTGAAAAACAAAAGGGAAAAACCTACTCGGCTCCCTAAATTTACAAACGCCATCATACTCGAAGAAGAAATATTTGGTGCCATAAGCCTCAACGTTGCTGGGGTAACCAAATATCCCTCCCTCGATCGTAGATTGCTTCGAGAGATATAAGGAAACCTTGTCCTTGCTTTTCTTTAAGTAGTAAGCGCATGCAAGTTCCAACGCTGTTAACTCGTCGAGTTCGTGTTCGCGGCATGCGATTTACATAGCAATTGCTATCATATACACATTGGGCATCAATTGAAATGGCGTGACCTCGAAGTGGTCGAGGATCGATCTGATGAAGGGGTGAAATGGTATTGTCACCCCGTATTTGAAGATTGCCTCTAAGATCGCAGTCATTCCTGAGCGATGTGAGACCTATGCTAGTAGATGTTTACGTTGATCATAAACTGGTCTACTGTCTTTTGAATCTCATCTGTAGTGGCTGCTGATAGCACTGCTTATGCAGGACCCGTCGAGGTGCTCGGGGGCTGCGAGCTGGTTCCAGTAGTTGCTCTCATCTCCGAAGAGTCCATTACTCCTAAAGTCTAAAAAGGTGCAACATGAAGAGATGACTCAGTCTCTGTACATAGTGTTTCATACGACAACTCGAAAGAGTAAGAAAAACCCTAATTTTCCTTCCTTATCCCGTAAAAACCCTAAACGTCATTGAGAACGAGTTCCCAAGGATCTGTGCCCTAGGTTTTTTATTCTTAATAGTGTTCTTTTTTTAACACTATCTAAGAATGTGCATCATGAAAAGTTTACCAGACGTTCAAACCCACTATTGCTGTGAAAAAAAACCAAGTTTTAACAGGAATGAAAAGAAGAAAGGGAAAAGTATTCCTTACCTCGTGGTTGCTGGGGATGAACGTTCTGTCGTAGCGGCTAGTGCGCATCAACTGGAAGAAGGATGAACTTGTTTTTTAGTGCAAAAAACTCTGTTTTTTTCTCTCTGAAGATTTGAGTTCTGTGAAAATCATAAAGTGGGGTTGGGGTTTTATAGGGAAGAAGGCGACGTTTGATTTCCTTTGCAAACGACGTTTGGTTTCCTTTGCAAGCGACGCCCACCTCGAGTGCGTTCCTAGCCGTTGGAGCCTAAATCGAGCCTTGGGTGGAAAGGCCCTAGAACCTGTACTACCGCTTCATCCTCGAGGCGATCCCGGGCTGGATCAGTAAAATAGAGGTCGCATCAATATGCTTTACACATTGGATTCTTTCAAAAGATTCTCGTTTGAACGTCCTTCACCGTCCCCGGAGCGGAAGGTCAAGTTAGCCTTGGTCGACGCGTGGTCTTCTAATCTCAAACACAAATCGATGATTGAGAATTGAAATAAAGAGAGTGGATCATCCGATTGTTAGCTAGCCTTTCTATCATCACCTTTATCTATCTTTGTCTTCTGGTCCGCGAGGCACCTAGCCCCTCTTAAACTAGGTTTTAAGCAAGCAGGCCTGTCTTTCAATCCAGGGGCCACTCCACGTGGATGAGTTTGATGGGGTTGAAGAGGGGGCCGGTATCCTCTTCTTGCTTTTGTGCCCTAGCATTCTACTGGATAGCTCCTACCCTTCCTTTATCCTCCTTGCGCTATGAATTGGCTTTCCTCGTGAAGAGTAACCTTCATGCTTCGTGAAGATCAATTGACGTTTCCCTTCGTTGGAGACGCCAAACATCGATGTGGTTATCTTCACCACATTGAATGCGCCCTTATCCAAATTTAATGCTTTAAAAGAGAATGTCGTTTCAGCATGACTTGCATTTCACCAGCTGTCAAGCGCAACGGATAACATCTGAAGAGGTCATTCGAATGAAACACTCCTCTCCGTGTATTGAGCTTGAAATGAAGTGACCTCCGATTTTCGGCGAGAATTTTCTAAGTGTTTTTAGGTCAAGAGCGATAGGTAAAGTTCGAAGCATGTTGGTATAGCACTGAGCATGATCTGACCCTAAGTCGACGATCATCTCAGGTCGTTTGTGAAGTTCTCCAAGCCCACATCGCGACCTCCACTCAGTTCACTGGTTGAGTAAAATCGTGAACTTCGTGTTATTTCAGCCGTTCTCCACTTGCAGCTCGAGCAAGTGATCCTCGGGATGAGTCAAATCATAGCATAATCATGAAGTTCCTAAAGTTCAAGCCTTGAACCTTAAGAACTGAGGGACTTCTGTTATGCCTAAAAAATCAGGGCTGACGTAGGCTTACTTCAGCGAGGACCAATCAGAGTTCATGAAGGCATTGTGCTGTCCAGGCGTTGCCATGTCGTCTAAGGACAGAAGGAGTAAGGCTGTCATCAGCTTAGCAGGTAAAGGCCTGAGGAGTGAGTGGTTGGGAGTCACCCACCTACCCAAGCCCTGTGCGATTTAAGGATATCTGTTGTGCAACCGGCTAACAGGAAGCAGGGTAGGAACTGTACGGCACCTGCCCGCTGGCAGACCCGTAATCATTACCCAAAAACCTCTTACTATAAATAGAGAGTTCCCCTCTCATTTTTGGGGATTCTAATTCTGATAATATAAACACACACTCTCTCCCTCTCTGTATTTACGTTCTCTCTTATCGCTACATGCGACCTGATTGTAATCTTTCATAAATAAAAAGATAGTGGACGTAGGATTCACTTTGAGCATCCAAACCACTTTAAAAATCGTTTCCCTTTTATTTATTTCATTTTCTAGTTCACGTGTAATTTCTAAGTCCGTTTAGCATTTTACACGTGCGAATAGTTGGTGTCAAAATTGAGCATCAACAACGTACAATTAGAAAAGCTTTTCAAATTCTGAACGCCTGCTATGTAAATATACGTAGTTGTTAGAATTATACAAGTGAAAATAATGCATATTCATTATCATATATTTATTGAAATAAAAAAATAAAAAAGCCTTGTATACTTGATTACTTTAACCTGCCGAAGAATATGTATTTGCAATTTGCGTATGTTAAAAGCAAGGCTTTGGATTCCTTGGGTTTCACAATATGGTCATAAAAATTGTTCCTTAAAGATTATAAAAAACAAAAAATAGGTTTTGTGATAATGTTAATAACAAGGAAATAGCTATTGGAAATAGAATTTCTATTTTAAACATGATTATAAGTCAACGAAAATATAGTTGGTTCAGACATCCTGATTATAATATATATATATATATCCAAAAATTGAGGGTTGAATAATTGATTAATTTTGTAGTTTATTTTTACAAATATCGTTCTCGTTTTTCAGACTTGAATTTGTAAAGCTAAGCTGGAGATTATATGTAAATATATGTAAAAGAGGTGGAGAGTAGTGGAGATGAAGTGGTGGTATATTATTATATGGTAGATTAGGTAGCAAATCAAGAAAAATAAGAGTATTATTGTATAAAGAGAAGCATCGTTTACTTAGAATTTATTATGTTATTTAGAAGTATACATTAGTTGAAGCATTATGAGTGTAAAGGCACCAATCCATGTGCTGCTTTCATTATGAAGTCATTGGATGATTGTTAGGAACTTTTCACACATGGGCTCTAAATTTAATTTAATTTAATTGATATTAATGACCTCCATATTATTATTGATATGTGGCCACTCAATTCTTTTGGAAACATGCCTACAGTTCTGGTTATCACTTATAATTCTCTCCTTTATTATACCTTTTCAAGTTTGTATAACTATTATTAATTTTCTCGACTATATTCTAAACTGTTGGTTTTTATACTAATTTAATGTGTATGATTAATGTAATAAATTGGGTTTAACTGAGTAATATTGTTTATTCTGTTAAATGATTTTATTAGTTTAGTTAAATGACTTAAAGGCATAAATAAACTTAGACTCTTGTATTTGCTAAAAAATTTGGATATGACAGTTAATAAATGATTTATTTTTGATAAATGAGAACGATAAAAAAAGTAAAGAATAATAAGCAAATATCATTCCCCTTTGGAGATCGATCTTACAAAATTAGTTGAAAATGCCATATAATTCTTACTTCTTAGCATGGTAATGCCCCTTGCTACATTCTATCGAGCTATTGTTAAACTATAAGAATACCGTTTTTATTTGGAGAGATGTCACTCAATAATAACTCCCTCTTTGTGGTCGGATGATAAACTCTTTAACCGTTGAGGTTAACTATATTAAAGATTTTTTTATTCGAGTTGCAAGAGATGTAAATACATGGTTTACCCAAAAAAAAAAAAAAAAAAAAGGAAAAAAGAAAAAGAAAAGTATCACTCAATAAGTCAAGAATTTCAAGTCCATGTCCAAAAATTCATAGACTTTTGAGAGTGCAGTCAATAATATTATTTAAAAATAAAACTCATATTCATTACATAGAAATGTGTACACAACCTAAATAATATGTGCATATATACGTTTATACATATGTATAATGTGCATATATAAATTTATACGTATGTATAAATGTATATATATTTGATATTATTAACTAAAAAAAAAATGTGAAAATAGGAAATATCTCGTATGGGGACCATATATGGTGTTGTGTCGAAAATTATGGGTTTATCTCGAATTCTAATAACATTTAAAAAATATTATTATATTTACAAACTATATATATATATTATAATGAAATTAACATAAAAATAATAAATAAACTATGAATAAAAAATCACATAATATTTTTATATCAATTTATGTAGAAGAATTTGTATAGTTGATTTGTAAGTGAGGTATAGATGAGATAATTATTAAGCAAATCAGATGCTTAAACCTTAGAAAATTTGTAGTAAATATTAAATGCCATTTGGCAAATAAGTAACTCAACCCAAGAGTTAAAAACTAACCCTAGTTAAGAAACCATTATAAAAAGGTGTGTTAGCTTACAAAAAAGTTAAAATATTAACCAAACCCATACTTTATTAATTTATTTATTTATTTTCTATATTTTGGCCATATTAATTTAATTTCAGTTATAATTTTGTGCACTTTAAAAAGTAAAAAAAAAAAAAGTTCTCTTCAACTTCTCAAGGGCTTTGACAATATGGGTCACTGTACCTGGTGATTTGCATATTGTCACAGATTCAAATTTGTTCAACTTGAAGACTTTCTTTTACTAGGTAAAACCATAACCCATTTCTTGTCTCTTTACTTTTCTCATATTTTCTTTCTAAAGATAATTTTTTGTTGCTGGTAGTTTGCATTTTTTTGCCTATCAAAATTGTAGAATCTAGGGTTTCAGTTTGTACTCAGTGACAGAGTTCAAGTTTTGAAATTTGACGGTTACAAGATTGTTTGATTTTTTTTTTCTTTTATCTTTGTGTTTTTACAGTAGATCCATGGTGTCCCATCTTGTATAATTTGCTATTAGAAAGGTTGACAAGTTTGAGTTGTGATTGTTATGATTGGTTTTCTATTTTTGTTGTTCAATGTAGCTCAAATATGATGCTATGTTGGTTTATGGAAGGAAAAATTTGATTTTGATTTGATAAATTATGTGGGCAGGTTTCCTGGTGGTTTTGTTTGTCTTTAAATGGATTCGTTTAGTTTTTATTTTTTCTGATCCGCTGGAGTTTTTTTTTTTTTTTTGGGGGGGGGGGGGGTGGGGGTGGGGTTTTCGTTGTAATTCCTTGTTCAGTTTTGTTGATGAACATTTTACGTGAACTGGATTGCTGTTATGAGTTTCTTTATTTTTTCTTTTAACCTGCGGAAGAAAAAGAAAAAGAAAAAAAAAAAAAGAGGATATTCAGATTTTATATTGTGGAATTAAAATGAATTTTCTTGGATGTTATGTTTAGTTTGGTGAGATCATATGATGTAATGTTGCATATTATTTATGCCTTAACTTTGCAGTGTTAAATATTGATAAATTAGGTCTTTTCAAATGGTTTGAATGCACAATCAATGTTGTGTATATATTCTGTAAAGGAAGTTGTGATCTTGGTACAGCTAACTTCATAAATTTGGGAATATGGAATTTAAAATAATAAAATGAGTGTTTTGTTGTTTGGGAGTGAAGTCGATGAATTTGAAACAAGGTAAAGCATTAATTTTCCCACACTTGGAGAGGCTATATCGTACTGTAGAGAGTTTGGATCAAAGAAGGAAACTGATGCTTATACTTCAAGTGAGATTATGTTATCTAGCCATTATAATGCCATTGTTTATAGAAACTCTTAGCTCGGTTTATGCAGGTTGATTTCTCTGGCACCATTTTGTTCCTTTTTCTTTTGAATTTCGTTGTCAACGTGGATTTATTCATATTTGTTGGAGTACACATAGGGTAGAGGAAGTGGGAGAAGTCAAACAGGTCAAGAATTTAGATGAATCTTTGCTTTTTTTCCAAATGTTTTTGATTAACAGTTTGGGTATATTCAAGATACGAAAAAGCTTCTTCCTTTTATCCTTTCTTGATTGTTTTCTTGTGTTTATTTATACTGATCTGTACTAGTCATTGCTTACCTTTTGGATTGTCCATATCAACACGCAACGTGGCAGTGGTGCTCTGTTATTTGTGCTCTAGGGCAAAGCTAGTTGAACCTATTCAATCACATGTTTGGTTTATGTGTTTTTCAATTATATTGTCATTAGCTATTTTAGGTTTAATATCATTTATTTTATTTCAAGATATGTTTCAGAATCTTAATGAAAAATTATGTCAATCATACTGTTGTTAGCTATTGTAGGTTCAATATCATTCATTTTATTTTAAGGTATGTTTCAGAATCACAATGAAAATTATGTCTATATAATTTTTAGTATTGGGCTTATTTTCAAATTTTAGTTGTGTCTATATTTACATAATATTCTAATGGTTGACCACAAATTGGATGGATTGTATGAAGATAAAAAGAGTGGAAATCAACATCGTGTTTCTTGGTGCTGAATACTAACTTTGAAATTGGTGTTAATTGTGTGGAAGGGATAAAATTAGTGTCCATGCAAAATTTATATGTCTGATATCATGGCTCATTTGCTTGCATTAAAATGTACTCTGTGTTCAATGTTTGATGTGTAAGTGGGCTTGATTAGGTTAATTGCATGAGGGTTAAATATTTTGTTTTTGCTTAGAAGAAAACTAATGAAAACTTAGGTGGAATTGAAGGATAAGAATCTGGTGTCAGAACTCCATACCAAGAATTTAAATCAATTCTCAAGTCTTAATGTAGTATTTTTGAGTCAAATATGGAAACATGCTTATGGAAAAAAATTTATCTGGGGAATATAAAATATTTGTTCCGGTTTTAGTAACATAATAAGTTATATTGTATCACCTCTGCTGATGTTTTTCTGTAGCATTAGTTTGTAGATGTCTTTTGACTCCGTTAGCCATTTGTTTCAGGTATTAAACTATTGAAGCTACTGTCCCGTTGTTCAGATTTATGAAAGAGCATTGGGCCAGATAATCTGACAGCTGGTTGATGTTTTGCTAATATTTTAATAACAAGGTGACCAACAAGCATCTTACAGACATTGAGGGAGATTATGGATTGTAATAAAGATGAGGCAGTCAGGGCAAAGGAAATTGCTGAGAGGAAGGTTACTGAAAGGGATTATGCTGGTGCCAGGAAATTTGCTATGAAGGCTCAGTCTTTATATCCTGGGCTTGAGGGAATCTCTCAAATGTTGACAACAATTGACGTATATGTTTCTGCAGAGAAAAAAATTAATGGGGAAGTGGACTGGTATGCTATACTTGGTACAAATCCTTGGGTTGACGATGAAACAGTGAGGAAACAATACCGGAAGCTGGCTCTGGCACTTCATCCTGACAAAAACAAGGCTACTGGTGCAGATGGTGCGTTTAAGTTGGTTTCACAGGCCTGGAGCTTGTTGTCCGATAAGGCTAAGAGATTAGCTTATAATGAGAAGTTGAATCCTAGAATCAGGACGAAACCTCAGTCCAAGGTCAAGGTTCCATTTTCGTCACCCAGTGCAAATGGCATTCATACTTCTACCAGTAATGCATCTTCAAATGCTAGGACTCAAAACAATGCTACCCAAGTGGGCCCAACATCTGCTCCTTCTACTAATAAAAATCCTGGTACATTTTGGACTATTTGCAACAAATGCAAAACTCAGTATGAATATCTGAGGATTTATCTGAATCACACGCTCCTTTGCCCCAACTGTCGTGAGGCTTTTCTGGCTTTAGAGAGGCCTCCACCTCCAAATGCTTTCAAGTCTTCTAACTTGTCTTCTCGCCAGCAGCATCAGAATTCTAGACATCATAATGCTAGCAGTAACACATGTAATACTGGGGCTTTTACGGGTCTTAGTTCATCTACTGACACAAACCTCCAGTGGGGTCCTTTCTCTAGAATGGCTGATGTTAATAGCAAGGTTGCATCAACTTCCACTGCCACTCAGCAGGTCCATGAGAAATCGAAGAGAGAGAGTAACGAAGCATGGGCGGCTACCTCAAAAAAGAGAAGAATGAATGATAATCGCATGAATGGGTATGTAGGTGACATGGCAAATCAGATGGCCATGGGGAATGGAGTTGGTTTGGGAAGTGTATCTGAATCGAGAAGGGGCAGTTCTGAAGCTGAACGAACCTATGGTTTTTCTGGCACCAATAACAAGTGCAACAGGGAGAGAGAACTATCATTGTTTGAGATTCGTAACATGATGGTGGACAAGGCACGGAGTGAAATTCATAAGAAACTTCAGGAATGGAGCTCAGTAAATGCCAAGACTGCTAACAAAGAGAAGGAGAAGATGAAAGAGAAAGAAAATAGGAAGCAGAAAAGTGGAGCTAATGGTGAAATGCATGACACCATTAAACATAATGGCTCCAATAAAAAATACCAAAACAAGGAATCTCTTCCTGGCTCTTCTGATGATGATTCAGATAACCATGCGCCTGCATTGTCAATCAATGTTCCAGATTCTGATTTTCACAACTTTGACTTGGATAGAACTGAAAATTCCTTTGGAGATGACCAGGTCTGGGCTGCATATGATGATGATGATGGGATGCCTCGCTATTATGCTCGAATTCAGAAGGTGATATCTTTGAAGCCGTTTAAGATGCGGATCAGTTGGCTTAATTCAAGAAGCAACAGTGAATTGGGCCCTATGAACTGGATAGATTCTGGTTTTACCAAAACTTGTGGAGATTTCCGGACTGGTAGGCATGAAATTAGCGATACATTAAATTCTTTCTCCCACAACGTTAAGTGGACAAAAGGTACACGTGGGGCCGTTCGCATATTTCCTAGTAAAGGGGATGTCTGGGCCCTTTACAGTAACTGGTCTTCTGACTGGAATGAGCAAACTCCTGATGAAGTGATACACAAATATGACATGGTGGAGGTGCTTGATGACTATAATGAGGAGCAAGGTGTGTCTGTTAGACCTCTGGTTAAAGTTGCCAGTTTCAAGTCAGTGTTTTGTAAGAACATGGATCCCGAGTCTGTCTGGAGAATCCCAAAAGAAGAGATGTTTCGCTTCTCTCACCAAGTTCCAGGTCACTTGCTTACAGGCCAGGAAGCTCATAATGCTCCTATGGGAAGTTGGGAGTTAGATCCGGCAGCTATTCCTGTGGAACTCCTTCAGGTAATTACAGAACGTAATGAAGCACCATTGGTAGAGAATGACGGGAAAGTTGAGGAAGAGACGTTGCTGAGTGCCCCAAAAGTTGAGTTAGACGAGTTGGTGGATAATTGTGCAAAAGCTAGAGAAGGAGAAACAGTAGAGAATGGCATGGAATGCCAATGACAAGAGATAATGGGCGTGCAGGTGCCCCGATAGCAGAGGCACAGCTGACATGGTAGATGATGCAGAAAAAGCTTAAGAAATTAGAATGTGGAGACTGCTGAAGATACTTGAAATTAGGTGAGTTTTTTTCCCTTTTTTTTTTTTTCTTTTTTGTTGCAAGCTTCATCCAAATTGTAGAAATTGGTTCCTTGTGCCATAACTTTATCCAGAGATCCAGATTTTTTGGTTCTTGTTGTTTCTGTATATCTGTGGACAGTTGAAAAGTTGTCACAGAAACTCATGCATGACAATACCCAAAGTTCAACAGTATTTTCTTCTTGAAACTTTGTTCTTGTCCACGTTCACAGCTTATAGTTTTTGCTACACATTAAAACTCTCAATGCTTTTTCATTATTGGTGACCATTAGAGGGAGCAAGCATATTGAAGTAGCAAAACTTTGCCCGAGCTAACACCTTATAATGCATAGAAAAGAATACGAACTTTCCATGAATGTAGGTAGCGAGTTTTGTTACAACTATTCTACTTTCATGAGACGAAGTTGTTGCTTCCATATTCTCACCTAAACCCATGTAGACCCCAAAGTAAGTTTCCTCTTATTATGTTCAAAATATAGATTATATCATGTGCATGAGAAAGATGATTGGATGGGAGCTGATGCATTTCAATAAAGAATACAATAAAAAAACGTTCTTTTAGAGAAAATATTACACTCATATCCTCTTCTTACAAACTTCTTTTTACAATCTTGACATGACAGTTCACAATTGGTCAATTTGCAAAGGGTCTCACCTGATAAATTACGATTGACCAATTGCGAATTGTCATGTTGAAGTTGTGAAAGAAAGTTTGTGAGAAGAGGTTGTGGGTGTAACATTACTCTTATTTTATTAAGGTAAACCCTTGGGAGGCGTTTGGTTGGGGTTAATATCATATTACTAGGGTTATGTCATCTTATATTACTTTGATTACCACGTTTGATTATTAAGTAATATAAGATTCTGGTAATCTTCTAATACCAATAGTAGTTACTGTTGGTAATATTGAAAATAATTTGATTACTTTCATTTTCTTATGTATTATAATATTATCAAGGTAATCTTATTTTTGTTACAATTCTATCCTTTATTAATAAAAAATTTGGACAATAATGCCTTTGTTTTAAAATCAATTTACATTAATCCACCATTACAATTTTATCCTTATTTAATTAAGTTTTTTGACAATAATGTCTTTATATTTAAAACAAATTATAGACCACCACCGCCACTCAGCCACTATCACCGACAGAGGGCCAACCACCGCGGATCGCCGTTGGAAAGTCGCCAGAGTCGTTAAAAATGACCGAGAGTTGTTGGGAGGCTTCAGGAGGCTCCGATATGGTAATTTCTAGCTATATTAATGGTCGAAAACGCCCATATCATACTAGATCTAGTTGGAAATGGCTAGATCTATTTTGGCCATTTTTGGCCAGATTGATGGCGCCCAGATCTGGTCGATAATGACTAGGGATTTGGCCGTTAATGGATTTGATCGGAAATGGCCAAAATAGATATGGCCATTTCCGGTCAGATCTAGTTTGATATAGCCGTTTTCGACCATCAATATGGTTAGAAACAGCCATATCGAAGCCTCCCAATCACAATGGGCTACTCACGGCGACTCCAAGTGACTTTCGACGGTAGTTTGCGATGGCAGCAGGGTGGTGGGGGTGATTTTGTAATAAATTAAAGTTTTATATAAGTGGAGGTGTTTTAGCTAAATCTGAAATATTGGGGGTTAAAAGAAATTATTCAAAAATTAATATTAAAAATAATATTTTATTAATATTTTAAAAAATGGCAATTTAGTAAATTAAATAACATACCCATCAATTTATTCCTCCTAATCAAACATATTAATATAACATATCCATCCATTTATTATAACTAATCAAACATATTTTCTTAAATATTTTTAGTAATCTTCAAGATAATATAAGATTTTAGTAATCCAACATTCCTTGAACCAAACGCACCTTGAAGACATAAGGTTAACCTCTGAATAAGGGGCATGTATGACTTGTATGTGCCAATAGATTGAATGGACACACTGTCTCATTGAAGACGTGTTCTTTAAGTAACCCTTGAATAAGGAAAAAGAAACTTAAACCTAATCCCTTCTAGACCTTAAAGGAAGTTTCCTCTTATTATGTTGAAAATATAGGGAGAAAATGATGAAATTAAATGCACTTAACATGTTTTTTTTTTCTTAGTAAACGAAAGATAACTTTAAAGTGGACCAAGTGTTCATAGTGACAAATTTGTTTATAACTTGTTTTCCCTTGATCAGTGGTGTATATAGTATCAGTGTGCATGAATAAGATGATTGGACGGGGAGTAGATGTGTTTCTAATAAAAACTTTTTAAGTTTTTTTATTAAGGTTAATTCTTGAAGTCGTGTGTTTAATCCCTAAACAAGGGGCCGTATATGACCTATTTAATGAGTTATTGAATGAGTGTAGAATACAAATGCATCCGTTTCATCGAAAACTTTCTTTAGATTAACTCTTGAATAAGGTAGAAACAAACTTATACATAAAAGATGCCATCACTAGATAACCAGTCAGGGAGGGCATATGCATGTCGTGGATGTTGACATGGCGCTTACTGATGGGCTGTTGCACCAAGATTTGAAGAGTCTGAAAGTAGCATATGGCCTGAATTTCCAAGTCTTCTCTCTGATCATTGACTCTGTACCTTTGAACTTTGCGGTTGTATGAATTGGAGAGTTTGTGATTTTTGACTTTGAATATCCTCCGACGGTTTACTTTTCATATTAGTCGGTAATGCTCTTTGTCAACACACATTTTCATCACAAAAATCACTGCATTGAACTTTAGACAAACAGAAGATCACACCAGATTATAAGGGACACCGAATCAAGACTTCCTTTTCCTTTAAAGTGAGTTTGAAAATTAGTGAGAGATTGATGATTTTAAAGAGAATTTATAAGTTTTAAATTGAAACACTTGGATACTCTAAGTCAGCAATGGTGTTCATCATCATTTACTTCCCTTTTTTATTTTTTGAAAAGGTTAATTTCATAAAAGAAAAAAAAACTATACAAAAAACTAAGGTCATATACCCCCTAGAAGAGGTCTAAAGAATACTAAAATAGATATGCTCATCTTCTTGGGCAAAAAGATGGGAACAATCGTCTAAAAGGGAGCTTGTAGGCTCCAAACAAAGGGTAGAGATAGGTTGAGACGCCCTAACGGAGCTCACAGGCTCAAACCAAATATTTTCTTTACCTAAATATTTTCATTTTCTATGAAAATATTGTTGAAGGAAACTGTCATAAACTTTACATAAATATTTTCTTTCACCTAATAAACTATATGAATCATAGACTAGAATTTTATTATTAAACCAAAGTCTTTTCTTCTCTGCATGTTTAGATTCATATAACTGCGTGTCTTCGTTAAAGACATCTTGCAAAAGGAGTTGTCAGCATGAGACGGAGAATCTTAGGAGAGCAAAGCAATTAATTAAGTTTAATTAATCTGTGGCAGAAGACAATGCATCGCAATAATATTACAAAGTAAACAAAGGAAGTTTCTTATGCAAATGCCTTCCACATTCAAAGAACTTTAAATTATAAAGAAAATTGACCTCTGACCAAGCCAATGCCGGTGGTCTTCTCTTCTCTTCTCTCAATTTGTTCTCCATTATTTTCTATTTCTTTAAACAACCTTTTTTGACAGGCAACTACTGGTGATATAATTATACACTTGTTCCCTGGTATTGTACCCTTAAATACAAGACAAATGTGTTCCCTCTGATTAAGACCTAAGCTTATAGGGATGTTTAGGTAATTCTGAGAAATTGTTTTTATTGTTTAATGGTTGGTAAGTAATGGGTTAATGAGTAAACAAGAAGAGACCCACATGAAAAAAAGAAATACAAACAAGAGTACATGCAGAATCTTGTAATCACATGCGCATTTATTTGGCAGAATCAGTGATATGTTTCACCCTCTTTTGCTTGGCTTAATTATGCAATTGCCTCTCTCTCTCTCTCTCTCTCTCTCTCTCTCTCTCTCTTTGGTGACAGTTGGTGTTCGGACTAGTTTGTGGATATCTCAACTAATCTCTTAGACCCCTGAAGTTGACAACTGGGTAAATCCTTTCAATGATTATCCTTCTTAACAACCTCAATAAATCGAATTTAAGACTTCTTGAATAATACATCTAAAAATCTTAGTTGACTGCTAAGCCACCCCCCGTGATGGTTTTTTGCCTTTCTCTTTGATTATTCTCATTCACCCATAAATTTATTAGATTATATATATACACATGCATGATGGCCAAGCTTTTGATTTTGAATTACTTTATTATATCATAAAGTTTCCTATAATATGTTTATTCGGTGGCAAAGATCAACGATGAGTCGATGATGGTAATAAATTCTTTAAAAAATCATATAAAAGCATCCCTATTACTTTCACTTCCAATATTTCTTACTATATTTCATATCTACGCACTTTAATATCATAAATGGTTTTTAAAACTATGGTCTGATATAATATTATTCTATTCTTTGTTTGCACGATATAGATTGTTTCATTTCATTATTAAAAGTTAAAACTGACTTTAATTTTTGCCTCGGGAACTCCTCTTAATCTAACATGGATCGGCGCTCTCTTCTCTCAAAATATACAAATATTAATATATAATCTTTTAATGCGGACGTATACGTATATAATTATTGTGAGCTGAGCTCGATCGAATGTCATCACACACACCATCAATTCCTCAAGTTCAATTCGAATGGCTGCTCATCTTGTGACAATTAATACTTTCAGAACCAAAATCACATAATATTATTTGTATTTTTTATTAGAATATCATAATATTTCGTTGACATCTTTTATATTACTTGTATATTTACACATATACACACATTGCTCGTAATTCCCCCACCCGCGGCTAATTTTGTGACATTAAAGTAAAGAAAAGAGTAAATGACATGTTCCCACCCAAGGTTAGGCGAAATGGCAAGTTTCATATATTCTAGATTTCTACCATTAAATTAACAAAAACCTATTTAATTTAACAGTTAAAAGGTATAATGGTCATTTTAAAAATAAAAATTTTAAAATAACCCTTCACTTCTTAAATTCACCCCACCGGTGATTTCAGGTCATTTCGGCATGTTCCCGACGCAATCGACCCATCCTGACACCATCATTACAATCCTCTCAACCCCCACATTAAAACCCCTAACCTCGCCGACTGATTGAACCCCTTAATCGTCAGTTG